CTGGCGCTGAGGGGAGGCGGCGGCGTTGCGTCCCTCCTCGGCGAGGTGGTGAGCGGGGCTGGGGCTGCGGTGTCCGTGCTCTGGCCGCAGGGTCGGCCGTGGCGGGGGGTTTGCCCGGGAAGCGGGGAGTGGGAGCTCGCCTGAACCGTAGCAAGCGTGTGGGGAGTCTGTCTTCAGGCACCCGAGCCTGGCTGGGAGCCTGGGCGCCTGCTCGGGCATAAGGGCTGACCTGGATCCCGCCCGTCGCAGGAGAGGCTGGAGGGCCTAATCCGCTGTAAAGGCGGCTGCGAATCGCTAACCCGTGGACCTGCTTGGTTTCCTTGGCCTTTAAAAGACGTAGCTGTGACTTCTGGAGGTCCTCTTTAAGGTTTCTCAGTTTGTTTGAGCAAGGCTAACGGCAGGCAGCGAGAGAGGTTTGCTTACGTTGACCCTAACTGGAGGTTCATTAGATGGAAATGGCTTTTCTAGCAGAACCTATACATGGCTTGTCGGAAGAAGAGTGCAGCACGGTTATGAAATATCCCAACGTATGGTGTTACATTGAAGACACTGAAATACTGTAATTACTTATAGAGATTCCCTGTTTCCAGCTAAACTTAAAATAACAAACTCCTAGCTCCTGCACAGAGCTTCTATTTCAAGAAATTGGCAAGGGTAAGCGTCATCACTTCTGATTTACTCGTAGATAAACTGACAAATGAGGAAGACAACAGATGACCCTAAAAGTACTTAGGAATAGGCTGACTTTCCATCTGTAAATGGTAAAAAATATTCTAGTATTGCTTGTAGATGTCAATAGGGAAGATTTTAGGGGCGGCTACTGTAGCAGCTCCTTCTGATACTGAATGTTAGACTCCGGTCACTAGTGGTGCAGGCTTGATTTTCAGGGTAGCGCTATAACTTATCAAAATCCATTGTGTATGTGTTATATAGAGGACATGCAGAGACACTTCCCTAGAAATAGAGTAACTTCCTTTTTTGTGCCAGCAGAGATAACAAAAGGACATTTGAGGCATGTAGAGAAGGGGCTGTGCACCTCCTGTCAAGTACCACAGCACTTACTGCTGGTTTACCTGAAGTAAAACAGTTGAAATGCCAAGTTTTAATCAAAAGTAGCACCCTTTCCTACCCTGCGAGTAGTAGAAGTATTTTATGTAACGCTGTTCATTTGAACGGGGAACGGGGACAGAAAGGAAGTTCAATGTTCATATAAAATTCAAGCAGCTGCAGATTTTGAAACTTATGGCAAAGAAATCCCTCTCTGTTTTAGCAAAGAGTAGTAAATCGACTTTCTATTGCTGTAGCAACTTAGGGGCTGTGAAACTTTGCAGAATGTTATGGTATAGATTGCGTTAAGTGCATTGCCACTGTCCATCACTTACAAACATCATGCAACCAGTATTGTAGCAGAGAAGCCAAGGAAATGATTGTTTCACTAATGCCATGCTGCTTTTAAAATGAGTAGTGGTTTTTTGGAAAATGCTTGCAGCGTATGTTTATTTGCAGTCAAAGTTAATGTATTTTTCCACCCCTTTCCTGCATGTACCTCATGCAACCTGCGAGCAGGGAAAAGGCATTTTGGGTAGACGTTTTGGCAATACTTTTTTTATATTTTAGTCCAATGATTATTTTGCTGAACTGTTGTCCTTGACAAAGAAACCTTTTTGAGAGCCAAGGTGGTGTTACTAGCAGTGTGTAAGGAAAGGATTGTATAAAACAAGTTGCAGTTGCGGCATCTGTTTGCAGATGCTGAATAGCAATGAAGGCCAATGCTATCTTCAAAAGAGATGAAATGTAGGCTTTGGCTCAAATGGGAAGCGTTGTTGTCTGTGCTTAATACCTGTCTGCACATATGACAGGTGTGGCCTGCTTTTGTCTGTCTCCAGATGCATTTTGTTTTCTCTGCTGGAGGAATGGAGTCAACTGGGTTTGTTTTTTGGAATTCCCCCCCTTCCTCCTCCCATTCACTCTTTGTATGTAGGAGCAGAGATGTAACGCTAGGAGTTGAAACCTTAAAACTTGTTTTATTTTTATTTAAAGTCAGCATTCAAAACCATGAAACTGTTGTTTAGTTTTGTGGTTTTGGGTTGTTTGTTGGTTGGGGTTTTTTTAGCTTGTTGCACTTTGGAGAAATGCAGCATTTGAAGAATAAAAGAATCTACTTTTTTTTAAAGGACAAAATTTTGATAGAATGGGGCTATATAAAGTGAAGGAATTGGTAGTATACACAGAAAAGAAACTGCTTGGATTTAATCTATTGTATGACATTGTAAGCGGGAAAGTCTTAATAACTGCTGTATGAAGTAAGGATGGCTGCATAGAGTTCTGCTTCTTTATTTGTTGCAAACAGTTCAGCTTTGGAGCTGCTTGTTTTCACTGGCTTTAAAAAAGGTAGCTATGACCTTTGGGGTTCCTTTTTAACCTCCATTATTCTATGATTCCCTGAGCTATTAAATGTGTATGCGTGAAACGTGCTACCTGAGGGCAGAGGAAGTAATTCTTTGCTCAATCCTTAGAACCAACGGGTAAGAAATGATGTTTAAGGTGGGTATTTAATGAAGTGTACCAGTTTGGTGTTTACATGGTGATTTAACTCTGCTCGAAATGGAGAGAGACTTTGAAAAATTTTGTGTCATCCTCCAAAGCTTGGGTGCAATCAGTTCCAGAGTTTGGGCTTTTCTGTTGTTTCTATTGAAAAAACTAGACAAAATGCTAAAGCAATATAGTCTTGTCCAAGGAAAAGAGATGAGGTTTCCTGTGCGATGTCATGACAGAAGGAATTTTTTGCAATGAGAAATTGCCAAATACGAAATTACTAAAATGTCATCAACTTACATGCATACAATATAGTCAACAAAATTAACCCCCTTCAACAAGTGGTGACCTTGTGTGAAACTCTAGAGGGCTTTCTCTTAATTATACTCTAGACTAATCCTCTTTTAATGTGGGTTTTAAAAGAACTTAAACATTTTGATTGTGAATGTGACCCTTAGCAGGGTATTGTATAGTATTTGTTTAATCTCAAGCTGGTTTACTTTAAACAATTTTATGAAATCATGTATGACTGTAATGCTTACTACTTTCCTTGGTCATCTCTTAATCTGCATCTGTTAGTTTTCTTTCTTCCCCCATGAGAAATGGAACACAAGAAGCTGCAGTACTCTCACTGATCTGCTTTTAAAGTAAATCAGCTATTTAAAGAATTTGCTGGAGAAGCCCAAC